TCAGTTTTTTTCTAACAGCAATATTAAAAAAATTGTGGCAAAAATAAAAATTTTCGATATCTCCTCGCGTTTCTATTATCCTGATACAAAGTTCCGAATTCGAAAAGATCCAATTTTGTCTATAAAATTTTCGTACCAGGATAGCAGAAACGCGACAAGGTATTTGACTTATTTTTAAATGCGAATAACTACTAAACGGCTCAAGATAGAGGCAAGCGGCAAGGGGCATTTTAAACTATCCCTCCGGCTCTACCTTCACGTGAATTTATAGAATAATTCGATCATTATTGACTGAGGAATTAAGAAAAAAAAGTTAACTCTTATAGCTAGGGAGCAACTGAGTTCACCCCTTAATTGCTAGTGCTTTCTTTTATATGTACCCCAATTTTCATCAAGATCAGAGAGAAAAAAAATTTTTGTCAAAAAATTTGGAAGGCTATCCCCTTTCGATTTTTTTGAAAAAATAAAAAGCTGTTTAAATTTGCATACGGATAGAGGGTTATATGTAGATCTCAAAAATACACTCAGTTTTTTTCTAACAACAATATTAAAAAAGTTGTGGCAAAAATTAAAATTTTCGACATCTCCTCGCGTTTCTATTATCCTAATACAAAGTTCCGAATTCGAAAAGATCCAATTTTGTCTATAAAATTTTGGTATCAGGATAACAGAAAAGCGATAAGGTATTTTGCATGAAAATGTAGATTCATAATCAAATAATCGTATAAATTGGGGTAACGAAATTTGACTTATTTTTGAATGTGAATAACTAAAAAAGTCGAATTCCGTTACCCTAAATTATACGATTATTTGATTATGGAACTACATTTTTATGCATCTTTCTTTACTACCTTCTCACTCTTCTGTTATCCTTTTGGTACTCGGATCTTTGTATCAGGATAACAGGAGAGAGAGGAAATATGAAAATTGATTTTATATATACACTATCTTGATTTTTCAGGAAAATTCAGGCATGAAAAAAAAGACAAAAAAAAGAGAAAACCAATATATTAAGTTCATCTACAATAATAAAACAATTTTTATACAACATTACACAACTGATAAATACATATGAATATTAATAATAAAAATAATATATAATAAAAATGACTAGTAAAATCATTATAATGAAAAAAATTAAAACAATAATTTGTTAAAATAAACTATACTATACAAATCCAACAAGTAGCTGCGTAAAACGGTGAAAAAAATCACCAAATATCCAAACAATTGTTTATATCATTTGTTGCACTAAAAGTAAAAAAAATCGCTGTTGTAAAAAATCAGACACGTTTAATTACAAATTGGGTCAATGCATCTCTAAAGACGACTAAAAATAAATTAAAATATTTCAGACATGTATCTCGTTTTAAAATTTTACAGGAATTGCCAAGATTTGACCTGATAATATTGGATGTAACAAAAAAGTAGGTTGTAAATTATACATTACATCAAATATTATGTAGTTAAAATTTACTATATACAATAGTGCTTACAAAAAAAGTTTCTATTTTGAAATTACAAATTAAAATAGGATGTTTCCAATAAATCAGAAACTGTTAAATAATACGACTATTCTGTGGTATAGGCAATATCAAATAAAGTTCTTACCACATAAAATTTTAAATGAATTAGAATAAATAAAATCACAAATAAAATTAAACATCTACCAAAAGATGAAAGAACCTAATTGTAAACTAGAAAAATAATAGTTTTTATGGGACTGGGACCTGGACCAAAATTACAATGGTGTATTTAAAAATTCTATTTTTTGTATACAATAAATACTTTTCATTTAATTTAATGATTCCTTTGCAAATAAATAATAGAAATTATTGATCAAAATATATACACAACACAGCAACATAACCTATAAAAATGCTTGACAGTTATACGAGTTTTGATATAACAGGCGAGTTCGGTCAGTCAGGGGCTGGAGCGGGACAAATTTTAGGGTGCTTTTAAATGACATTTAAGCGTGTTAAACTGTCACTAATCGGACTAAACCGAACGCTAAAAGAGTCGTTTGGAGTTAAAAGTGTTAAAGGAGTTAAAGGAACGTGGCAAACCGAACGCAATGAACTTATACAAGATAATGGGGCGCGTTCCGAAATTAGGCATTAAAAATAAAATGGTTGCAAATGTTGACGTGGCAACCCTGTCGGCTTGGAAATTTGACAGGGTCAATGACATAGATAACTATATAGATTGATCATTCACGTTTTTCAAATAGGTCTGTTCCAATAGTCAAACACACGCGAATACGCACGAAAACCGTAATATTACCTGTATTTTTTGTACCTATAATACCAAAGCTTTATTTATTTTAGGAAAATTCTACTACGGTCAGAAAATTCTTCTCTTTTTTGTAAGCACTGTTGTTACAGTATGTTCGCCTGATGATTTAGTTTATGACAAAATTTAATAGAGGTTGCTGTCGATCTACCAAGTGAAATTTATCGAAATTCAACGATTTATGATTGAGGAAAAGCCAATAGTATTTTCTCTGTTAAAATCTTAAAATCGAGACAATTTGATTCAAGTCGTAATGCATAAATGCATATGGGTATGGCGCAGTTCTTTGAATTTAAAAAACAGAAACGAAAAATAAACGCCCTTATACTAGTAATAATAAAGGCCTACATACATAAACAAAAAAAAAAAAATTAACAGCTTTCGAGTACCATGTAACCGAGATTCAAAATATTCTAATAATTAGTCTTAGGATGTACTATATAGTCCGAAAAATGAGATAAAATGATATTTTTACGGTAATTCGGACTATTAATTAATACGATATAACAAACAACATTTACTTCTTTCATTTCTACACTAATACTAAACAACAAATTCTCTTTACGTACAAAATACTTTTTTGCTTTAAATATAAAAATCACATAGCAAAGTAACGTGATTTGAGACAACCGTTATTTGAGTTTTCGTTTCGTTTTTTCCAAATTAATGCAGTCCTGCGGGAATATTGGATTTTTTGGCAAATTTATTAAAAATATGAATGAAAAATAACGAATAACAAAAGAAAACCTTAGAGGAAATTAAAAATACAAGCGCACATGGACACACATGTTAGTACACTACTGTAGTGAATGTTCAATTGTTTAATGTGTTATTGATTTATATGATACTGTCAATTTAGTTGAATAAAGCCTTATTTTTTGGTTTAAACTTCAATTTCACTACAATTTATTCAACTAAATTAAAATATGGAAAGGTATCTGCGTCCTGAGAGGTTTGATATCCATCCGGTATCAAACACTGACTCCGCCACAACTTCTCGAGACTAGACGCTATTTTTATAAAACCAAAGAATGAAATGTATGCACGCCACCAACTGGCCAAGCGTGAACAACAGCCTGGTGAAACGATTGACCAATTCATACAATCATTAAAACTTCTGGCCAAGGAATGTGGGTTGAAAGCAGTATCTGCGGAACTAAATGAACAAGACTGTATAAGAGATGCATTTATTGCCGGTTTAAATAAATTGGACAAGGTGGTAAAGCATTATCACTAAACATGCATAAAAAATGAAGAGAAGGATTTTCTCATGGATCCAATTATTAGATTATGACCAAATTTATATGGGATCAGCCCTGAAGTACCCCCTTTCTAACAAAAAATGAATCATTAAATCGGAGATCGTGTTAAAGCATTATCGCTAAACACTCATAAAAAATGAAGAGTTTGAGGATTTTCTCATGGACCCAACTATCAAATTTTGACCAAATTTGTATGGTACCACCCCTGAAGTATCCCCTTTCTAACAAAAAATTAAATCATTGAAATCGGACACCCTGTTAAAGCATTATCGCTAAACATTCATAAAAAATGAAGAGTTTGAGGATTTTCTCAGGGACGCACTTATTATATTTTGACCAAATTTATATGGGATCACCCCTAAGGTACCCCCTTACTAACAAAAAAAGAATCATATAAAACGGACAATGTGGTAAAGCATTAACGCTAAACATACATAAAAAAAAATATTGCGTCCAATTGAGAACCTCCTCCTTTTTTAAAGTCAGTTAACAACTTCGTCTGCATTTAAAAACGAAAAATAAGCCGGACCTGTTACATACAAATAATTTTACCTACGAAACTAATACGGCGTGAATCACAAAAATGTTGAAAACGGATAATACTAAATAAACCTGCAAAATATCCTATCCCACTGACTGCATCAATTTTACATTTAGAGGCACCAAAATCCCGTTTTTGGATTATTTAAGCACCTCAAAAACATCCAGGCAGTCAACATTTGCAGTCGCCATTCCTTAAATAGTAATTTTTTGTGCTAGTTTTAATTATTAAAATCCTAACCTACCAACTATTTTTTTTTGAATTATAACAGCACTTTTTTCACTGGTCGCTACAGATTGGGGTAAGAAATATTTAGACAAAGCATATTAGGATTGTACAGATCGAAAATTCGAGTATTAAGGCGACATTTCATTCGAAAAATTTAATAAAATGATCCATACAATTTTCAAAACCATAAAGAACTGGCTGTTCTTTTAGTAATCATAATTTTTTGACAAATTATAGACGGTTTGGACCACTCTGTATATATTTCATTGAACCTTTAAACCAGGCTAATTGAAAGAAAATATAGAGGCTTATTCATTAAAGTATCCCGCACATTTCTTCCATTTTTTAAAGTATGAACTAATCAAATATCTCCCTATAGGAGTGATGTCACACAGAAAAGTAAAACGAGCTGTATTTTGATACTAGTTTAGTGCCAATATCGTCATAATGTCATCAGTAACGTTGCGACGTTTTTGAAATTTACTGAAATTAAAAAGAATTACGGACTTAAAACCCCTTGGAATTACGCAAAAGACATTCTACAAGTCAATTGATCTGGGATCATATCAAAAATAAGATAAGTGATATTATTGTAATCAAATCAATATACGAAGTAAATAAGGTCTCCATTTTTTACAATTTAAGAAAACATTTTTCAAAAATGTTAAGTTTTTCCTATGCATTTATTTGGGAGTGTATTGAGGTCTTTTTTCCGGGGTTTTCTTTCAATGCTTTTTTTTATCAAGATTTGTATTTAACGTAAAAACACTGTTTTAGTCACTCCCATTACATTTATTTACAATGAAATGACGTGTAACATGGTTATTGATGACGTCGTCGATCCTACGCAATAAGCAATTGTCGAAATACAGCACAATACTTCTCAATGACACCCTCTAAGTTTTCATATAGATATATTTGAGACTGTTTAACAGGTTTGATGTAATTTTCAATGCACGTCATCGATAACAGTGTTAAAAATACAAGTTTATGGATGACGTGTCACAAGATGGATAATCTTACAACGTCTTACCCGTTAATATATTAAATTCTGAAGAAGTGCAGAATACCCACTTTAATTTTCGAGTACTAGTAAAACTAATAATATCACAGACAGTTAAACGTGCAAAATATGTTAAAACAAACTTTTTAAATATTAAAAAAAAAGGCTACAAAAGATTGGTTAAAGCTGATAATAACATGTTTCGTTGCACAAAAATTTAAACTCTGAAAACGCTTAGCAAAACTTTATAATTATTACAGAATATAAAAACGCTCGCAGTGTTGATTGCCTTTCATCAAACATTCCAGTCAACAATCTCAATAAAACGATAACATCGCACATCGATTTAGAGTATCACAAATCTTTCCGAACTTACATGACGTATTTAACGTTTGACATAATCTCGTTAACAACCGACACATGCAACGATGAAATGTCGCCTCGTACAGACTAACTGCGTGTTACTATTCAAAGACTAGTAAAACAGATAAAACTAGACTTGCGTCCAATTATGCTAAATACTACAGTCGCTGTCCTCGGACAATTCAGCAGGTTCGTCGTCTTCGTCTTCTAAAGCGCCATCTAAGTGGTGGGAGAGGAGATCGTCTTCATTGCCTTCATCGAATGAGCTAAAAAAAACAGTGTAATGAGAAGGGGGTTTCAAAGTTGAGCAAAATCGTGCTGTTAGTAAAAATGCTAAATTTTCCTAAAGCTTGCTGCGTTTGGGTTATTTTTTTAATGTTATTATTACGTTTAAAGTTACCATTTAGCTTCATAGGTTAAGAATAAAAAAATGTTTAGCGTTATAAAGCACAAGATCAAAATATAAGTACTAATTAGGAAATATGGGTTCTATTTTAATGTAAATTCAGGCGTGCAGTTTAGTAAGTACCATTGTATAAATTGCTTTACTCAATGCTGTGGAACCAAAAAAAAGGGATTTGTAATATTCACTGTGTAATGCTTAATCTGAATATTTGATATTGTTAACTACCGATTTCGACTTTTATTTTACTTTGAAATTGAAATTTTTCCTAAATAAAATCATTTTTGTTTTCATACAAGTAGTTATAAAAAAAGGTTGGTCCATTTTTTCTTTTCATTGTTCAAAATTTAAATGTCTCTAAATATAATCACACATAAGTAGTTTAACATTACTTCTGTGATCATTCATGTATATTCGCCCATTTTACATTATATAAATTTAATTATTTTGTAATTATATATCTAATAAAACCATCACAATTGGCGCCTAACGTGGGGCTCTCAAAACCAAAGATGGCGCTCAAATTTATTAGTGTAATTATTAAATAAATAAAACCATCGCAATATATATTTTTTATATATATTTGTATGTTTTAATATCAATAAAAAATATTATCTTTTTATTTTATTTTGAAATTCCGTTCATGTTGCTTTAATAACTAAAATTGATTAATAAGTTAATATTATTATTTATAATAATAATAATAATAATATGTACGTTTGCCAAAATAGCAGTTGTTTCCTTGGACAAGCAAACAAACAAAATGGTATATGTTAAAACAGATTAAAAAATACAAAATTGAACAGGTTAATTAGTAGTCTAGAGAGAAAGTTCTAGTAAATATCATACACAATAATTAGTTTAATCAGTTTCAAAAGTACAGATCACAATATAATTAAAAGAAAAATGAAATCAAAATTAAAGATATGTCCTTATAAATTATGTTTAAAATTTGTGAGATTAATTTTCTAAATATTGATCAAAAATATCGTTTTATTATTTTATTTATTATATAAATGTGTATATTAAATTAAAAAAAAAAAGACCAATGACAAAGGTAAAAGATAAGGTTGTAATATGTAATAATGTAATATATTCCATAAAGTTCAATCCATATGGGAACTTTTTTAACATTAGGTTTGAAAAAAAACGTAGTACGATCAGTGGCGGCTCGTGGGCACTAGCGGCAGTGGGACACACACTGGAAAGGAATCCCGGGATTCGTTTTTCCCTTAGGAAAACAAGTTCTCCGCTTAATGAAAATTAAATATATTTTAAAACAATCAGTTGGGGCAATAACGATTTCTGAATGTGACTACAGGGAGCTAAATGTGACCAATCAAAATGAATTTAACTATGTATGTGACTATTTAATCAAAAAATCATTACATATCCACTCTTGCGAAATTTGCGTAAATTTCTCAGAAGAATGCAATTTACTTAACAATCAACTTGTTAGCGCATTTTAAAGCATACGACTCTGAAGAAAAGGTGTTTGGCAGCGAAAAATTTCTCTTTTATATATTCAAATTAAAAAAAATATTTATATCTCTATTTGATAGTTTGTCAACTAATCCTGGAATTTCCAACGCATACCTTTTTGAGATGAGGAAAATAGAATTTGGTCATCCTTGCCAACAATTTGCGAAAATGTACACCATTAAATTATTTATATATACTCTTAAATATGCAAACAGATATTTGAAATCCTCGAAAAAGTCAGACAAAATCAAGAGAAAAATAAAAATTTTGTCCCATTTATAAATATTATTAATTTTGTTTCATCATATTTTTGACTGCTTTATAAAAAAAAATATTTTTCTTTGTAGTTTTATTTCTTAACTATTCCAATGGTCCAACTAACGTTTTTTCGTAATAACAATAAATAAATTATTATCATGATCCAACAAACGCGCACTTTCAGTCGAAACCGGCAGCCTTTGTGAGGGAGCCGGTAAAAAGATACCTCTGCGTACATTCATATATGGTCTAGGACAGCGCCCTGCTTGTGACGTATAATCCATCGCATGTGTTCATCTACTGCTAAGCGATATTGTCGTTGTCCTTGTTTTTCGCATCATAATGAGAGAGAAAACAACAGAGGCACACATTTCGTTTCAAATCGTTTATTTTCGTTTCAAATCGTTTATTTTACATAATTTAAGTAGTACATTAACAGAACATTGTTTGGAATGGATTCTCTAAGTCACGAGTGACTTGTCGAGAGTACATCCACAGTCATTGGGATACTTACCTATCAATTTAACATAATAATACATATAAAATACAAAATAATTTTCTAATAATTATAGAATAAATAAAAATAATCTTGTCAGAACCCAATTATAGGCTGATGCGTCAGTCTCCGCCAGCTGAGTGATACCAAACATGAAATACTAACCATCCAGATAACTGATAATTTATATAGATATTACTTTTCTTTTTTTTTTAAATTTATAACTTTAAAATAATTTACTTTAAAAAAGGCAACTTTGTAATTATTGTCTCACTGTTTTCTTTGATCCAGTGAGAAACTTTTACATTAAACATTTTTCTATTTATTATATTTATATTTTTGATATGTGACGGTAACATGTTAAAGAGTCTTGGTCCAGTAAAAGATACATACCTCTGGCAGGCAAGGAATTCAGCCCTGTTTGTATAGACATGATCTTGGGTGATGGATCTAGTGTTAATATTATGTTGAATATAATTTTTATAAGTATTTTTATATTTCATATAGTTTAAGGTGCTTTTTACTGTGCCATGTGCCCATATTCTTTCGGAATTCTCGGAACGTCGCTCAACGCTCGGTCGTCTAGTGTCGTGCCAACGCGGTTTGCGCTGAATATTAGATAAATTAATAATAGGCATTGAGGAAAATATAAAATATGTAAGTTATTTTTTTTTTGGTTTATTATACTAGGGCAAGTGCCCTTATGGGCAAACCGATACTGAGTTCGACATTTACCTTGACTAGGTACTGCATTACTTATCGGTCAAATTTAGTATTCTTTTTAAAAATCGTTATTTTTTTGTAAATGCCAATTTGACACAAAACTAACGTCAGTAGCCAACTTCGATATGGACTATTTTAGTTTTTAAATATGCAGAAGCGATTGCCCTCCCTATATAAAGCTTTTTTTAAGTATAATATTAAAAATAATTCCCATATGGATCCAACTTTATGGAACAGAGTATATAAGCAGATAAAACATTTCAAAAAACTTATTCATCCTGTATTCAATTTTTGGCTATGTCATCGTAAACCATGTGAAAAAAACAAAATTAGAACACAAAAATCGTTATATTAGATCATTAACGTTTTGACAACCATTAATTAAATCAACAGCCATTAGGTGCCAAAAATTCCAACAATTTTTTGTTGAAGTGTGAGCCAGTGCATTGTCCTAAAGAAAATACAATTTTAAGTCATGTTCAGATTTTCATTCTTTTGACATCGTCTAAGCAACTATAATAATTTAAATTCCTAAAATATCGATTTCATTTTCTTTTAAAATCAGTGATTAAAGCACATCTAAAGTATATTTTGAAACACAAGTCAGATTAGTTTAATTAATTAGCCGGGCGTTATTTTTGACACTTTACCAACATCATGCTGTCCTTACCCGATCAAAACCACAATCGTACTCCCTAAATACAATCAAAATTATTAAAATAAACCACTACCGACATGACTGATTGATGAAAAATATGATGAATGTTTAAATTATATAAAAAAGTTTGACAAAAAGAAGAAACAATTAACCCAAAAAAATATGTACATATGTATTATAATTCATAGTTAATATAAATATTAATGAGTAAGAAAATGAAATATTTAAAAAATATATAAGCTTTTTGTACTTACAAACTATCCGGTTGATCGTTTCCACCTTCTTCGGCAACAAGGAGTTCGTATTCTTCAGCTGCATATCTGTCCCAATCAGACATCTACAAAATAAAAGTTAAAATATTTAAGACTGGTAAACTTCTTTAAACCCTTAAACTGTCATAGGACAGTTTCTTGGCCCTCTGATTTTAGACTACACTTAAAACACACATTCATACATTATGTAACACATACATTTATACAACTTCCATACAACATAGCTTTGGTTTAAAAACCATTATAATGGTCATGTAATTTAATTAATTTTCATCTCTAATAATTGACACACCAAAAGTTTTCAGTCGTATCATTTCCACATATACAACTAGAGCCGGCTCTGTACTCTGTTCCCTCTGTTTCAAGTATTCATTCAAATTAAAATGGTGGGCCGTGAGTAATGGCAGGTTATGATATGGCAACCCTGTCGGCCTAGTGATTTGACAGGGTCAATGATATAGATAGTATTATAGATTGATCATCTATGTTAAACGAAGTTTAAAATGACATTTTTACATCAACAATGCCATTTTAAAATCTCCGTTTAACACAACGGTGGAATCGGCCCTTAGAGCATATAAGACTAGAGGGTTTGTTATGTACTGAGGGTAGGGATGATGCGATTTAGGGGTGGTTCAACCATTGCTGCAAGTTTTAACCCCGATTTTCGTAATCAGCGCCCCAAAAAACATATTAGCATGAGTTAGTTTGCAAAACAAGTACAGTCGAAAAACACCCCTATTTAGGGATGTTTTTTGCAATTTTAGGGGTAATTCAACCATTGCTGCAAGTTTCAATCCCGATTTTCGTAATCAGCGACCCAAAAAACATATAAGATGGCTTAGTTTGCAAAACAACAGGTACAATCAAAAAACACCCCTATTTAGGGGTATTTTTTGCAATTTTAGGGATGTTCCAACCATTGCTGCCAGTTTTAACCCTCATTTTAATAATAAGCACCTCAAAGGCGGCGTTTCTCGACCTTTTACCGTTATTTTAAATGGACTAAATGGACAAATTAATAAGAAAACATGTTTGTAGAAAGTTCTTCATTTAAGCATCATCACAATAATTGTTTCCTTTGCGATATAATGCTTAATTTATTAGTCTTTTTGTTTATTGTAAAATGGATTAGATACCTTTTGGTATTGTACATATTTAATTCCCATTAATTTTTTAAAATTTTTTTTTATTTATTTCAGATTTTCTACTGATCTCACAACCAAACTGGTTTAGTGTTAAATGCTCAGTTTGAGCATTAATAGCATGTCTAACAACACATGTCAAAGTAGAGACCATTTTTTAACTATTATAAAGGTAGCAATAGATTATTAAAAGGAGCTATATCAAAAGCTATACCTGCACCCTGCTTTCGAAAGTTTTTTTTTATATCTACTGGTAATTAAATCAAATCCTGGTGCTTTTTTGGGTTAATATTTTCTTTTATTTACCTGAGAAGGGTGGGAGAGTGGTCAACAGAGTTCATAAGCGGTAGCCGGTAGGTATCCGAAATATCTTTGACTTACATGTAGTTTGTAGGTAGATAATTTTAAGAAATATTTCGAGTTATATAAATAGGTCAATAATTAAGTCTGGTATATTATTTGGATCCTTAGGACGAATAATATGTTGGCTTTCCGCTATTTATCAATCATTATTATTGATAAATTAAAATAAACAAAAATCGACAAATTTAAGGTTAATTTCATTCTTCTATTCAAACACGTTTTCGCGGCCTCTTTCGTGAATAAATTAAGCCAACTATTTCTTCTTTTTTTGTAAACTGTTTTCTTCTTTTTTCATTCTGTCAATTTCTTCTTTTTTCATTCTGTCAATTTCTTCTTTATTTTTTGAACTGTCAATTTCTCCTTTTTTTAAGGCTTCAACCGTACACAATAACGAGTCTAACAAAATAGTGGCTTGCTCTGTTTTCAAAGATAGAGGCAGCCAAATTTTTACGATGGTATAGAAGAAGAGTGACATTCGACAGGCTTTTGCTATTATTTGAATTTTATTTAAAGAAATTCAGTATTTTTTGAATATATGCTTAGCTTAGCTTCTCAGGTAAACTTTGTCAATCTTTGTTCAAAAAAATACCTATACAGTATATGTGGTGACTAATTTTTGAAGATGGAGCACGATAGGGTGCCTTGTCAGCCTTACCCTTGGTGCATGTGCATAATATGTGCCCTAATCCCAAATATTAAGGGGTGTTTTTTGCAATTTTAAATGGACTAAATGGACAAATTAATAAGAAAACATGTTTGTAGAAAGTTCTTCATTTGAGCATCATCACAATAATTGTTTCCTTTGCGATATAATGCTTAATTTATTAGTCTTTCTGTTTATTGTAAAATGGATTAGATACCTTTTTGTATTGTACATATTTAATTGCTATTAAAAAAGTATGATTAGCTCTTACATTTTTAAATATCAAACAGATGCTGGTAGTAACCTTTGGAACTTGTAAAATTTAATAAAATGTGTATCTTTAATAAATGGACAAAATTAATTTTATGTACATTTCATTTATAGGAATGAAAATATGCAAGACAGGGAACTTCCATCTTTAACTCTCTTTAAAAGACAAACAAATTTGATAAACTAATCACCTAAAACCACAATGTCTGTAAGCTCCCATTTATTTGCACTAAATGCTTTTGAAGGAGAAAGAGAACTTACAAAAGAAAAAAGATTTGTTAGAGTGAAATAAGATATGTTTCATATAATTATTATGAATTCAGGAAAGCAATGCCTAAGAAAAACTTTCAAACAAAGTTATTTTTTCTGACTTTGGATTTCGATTTGCGATTTCTCGATTTTCTAACTTTACATTTTCACCTTATTATTTGTAAAAACACCTTAGTGTATCTTTACCATAATTAGGTAAGGATTTCTTGCAAAATAAGTAATTTTTATTAAAAAAATGAAAATAGACAGTTCTTTTTACTTCCCCCTATTTCCCCTAAAATGCCCTGTATGTCCGTCATCTCTTTCAAAAACCTGGTAACCCTGCACCACACTAGTATCATCCTAGTCCCATACAATATCCCCTTTGGTCTCTACATAAATCTACGTATTAAATGAAATAATAAATACCTCTTGTCCATCGACGTCATGGTCCCTTTGCGACGCAAACGGATCTCTTTGTTCGTGGTCCAAGTATTTCTCCAAATTAAAGAAGGTGTCGTAAAATATGGCCGTCATTTTACATTTCTTTAGATCACTCAAGGAGATTTTTCCAGGCGTTTTGGGTTTCACCATGTCCAACATTTGGCAAAGGCAGTCCTAAATCAAAACAAATCAATGTCACAACTAAACAGATTTTCTTGTGGTAAAAAGTAAATAATATTTTATTCTAAAAACAAACATTTCTATTTTGTATTAACTCTTTGAAGATCATAGACAGTTTTAATTATTTTAGTACCGTTCATAATAAGGACACATAAAACAGGTAGAAAATTTCTACTTACTTGAAAAGGCAACGTTTCGATACCGATAGATTCCATCCGGTGCATCTGTTCGTCATAGAAATACTCCAATTCGTACATTGAAAGATATCCATCACCGTCCAGGTCCATACACCTGAACCAATACTCAATGGCAGTCGGATGCAACTTATCTTCTTCGCTAAGGAGGAACCATACGAAATCGGTGTATGACATCCTTTCGTCTTGGTGTTTCTTGTGACCTCTCGTGACACAGCCCGAAAAAATTCGGTCAATGATTCGGGTGGAAAGAGCTAAAAGAAAAAATTAAAGAATCCAGACAACACACCAAATCCCAGAGATATCCACAGAATATCTTTTGTGGATATCCAATATATCCACAGGATATCAGAAATATCCGTCTATATCCAGGATATAGAAGATATCCTATGAATATCCAGCAAAATAGCTAATGGGTATCTCCCAGAAAATACAAGAAATCCCAGAGATATCCACAGAATAAATTTTATTGATATCCAATATATCCACAAGGTATTATAGATATCCAGTGGATCCAATATGGATATCCACATGTCCGTCTATATTCAGGATATAGAAGATATTCTATGGATATTCAGCAAAATATTTTATCTGTAGTAGAGGTTTATAAGTAACCAATGGATATATCATATAGATAAAAAAGGAAATAATTCCAAACTCAATTGTGACCAAGATGTAAAATACATCAAATAATACTTAAAGATTTTTTCCACTAAGGAGAAAGTCATTCTTGGACCGTTTTCGTCCTTATTAGGACTCTTCTGCAATAAATAGAAATTCTCGACTCCAGTCTCTAATGGAGTCTGATTGCAACACCAATTTCGATCGAACTCAATTACGGCGGCTTGAGCATGAGTAAATATTCAACGAGCGAAAGTGGTATCGCCATCTATACTTAGTAAGCAAAATCAAAGGTCGGTGTAGTACCTAGTTCAGAGACTAGATGGAATAAAAGCCAGGCGGGCTATTCTTAAAAAAGGAAATAATTCTAGTCCTAATAAGGACGAAACCGGTCCAAGAATGACTTTCTTTTTATTGGGAAAAATCAAAAATTACATCTAGTTCGCGCCTAGACTTTGATATATTTAGTGGATGTCCATGGGATATTAAATAACCTTAAAAAAATTAATTTAAAATATCTGAACGGTACTATTAGCCACAATGGCGTAATTACTATTATTTATGGGCATTTGCATGTCTATAAATTACATTTCATGGATATAAAATAGATATCCACCATGGACTGGACATTCAGTGGATATTGGGATGTCCAGTAGATATCCAAAGGATTTGGTGTGCTGTCTGGGCATTAGACTATCGAGTAGGTATTATTACTACTTACCGTGATCATTGTGTCTGGTGAGATCATGTTTGTCAATGAACAGATCATGGTCTCTATCTAGCTCCCAAAATTTACAGTAAATAACGTAGAAATGTTCGTAACTAAAGTATTGAGTGATCTGATTGATGTCTTCTTCATCTTCGAGCAACTGGATGATGTTGAGCAAATTCGCGCGCCTCAATTCTGATATCGTAATTTTTCCTGACCAAGACCTACAAAAAAAAAACATTTACATTCTTATTTGGGATGCCCTGTAGATAAATCTAGTCTTGGAGACTTACCTATTGACACAGTAATAAATCCTAGCTATGACGGTATGAACGTATCTCGAGTGAAATTCGGTGGCTTCTTTGAGGAAGGTTAGACCTGGATGAGTTTCGACGACGTCCTGAACCAAAGGGATGAAATCTTCTGGAGCCAGCCAACTACGGCGTCCTCTGGTGAGTATGTATATGAAGCGACTTGGTGCGTCGTGGCACTGCGAAGACATGCTGTAAAATAGAAAATTATATACAAACAAAATCCGGATAAGACGCTTAATTATATTTGGACGTGATACGATTAAAAAAGTAACTTGTGGAACAATTGGCATTATTATGGGTAAAACATAAAGAATTACACAAAAAAAAACACACGTATTGAAATAAACCAAATAGGTTATTACTCCAGTCAATTTTACATTAAAATAAAGAATTATCCAAGGTAATACGTTGATATTATTATTATTTCCTTTATTTAGCTAGTTTGCTAATATCACAATATACAAATTTAGTAAAAAGAGTATTGTAGAGCAATAATAATAATAATAATAATAATAATAATAATAATAATAATAATAATAATAATAATAGTCTTTATTATTTTCAATACAAAAAATTATTTCCATTACAATATCGGTATAACAATACAATGTATAAATTGAAAATAAAAGGCGAAGTTCAACTTTTATGAAGATATACTCCATAAAACTTGCTCTTCCACTTAACCTTAATCCACTTAATCAAAGTGAGGTAGAATTATAGTATTATATATAATACATTTAGTCCACTGTGATAAGCCAAATGAACTTCTAACTAGGAAATTTAACTTAAATGCAATAGTTTTCATAACACTGTTGGCATGATCTATGAATCTCATCTGCTTGTCAATCATTACCCCTAAGTATTTGAATTTTTCTACTAACTGTATAGAATTTCCTTCAATTGTTATGTTATATTGCTTATCAACAAACTTTGTATAGTTATAGTTGCTACTTATCAGCATACATTTTGTTTTATTTGTGTTAATTTTCAACAAATTATTGCAACACCATTTAATATAAACATGTTGTGGTGTTTCATTAACAACTCTTACCAAGTTATCTGAATCCTTACAAGAAAAATATATTAGGGCATCATCAGCAAACAGGTGAATGTCACATTGGCCCTTGGAATCAACAATGTCATTGATATACACTAAAAACAATACAGGGGACCCAATGTAATTCCCTGTGGAACACCTCTGATACCTCTGATATAGTTAATTTCCTCTGACAGAATGTTTTATTTACTTTTAACTTTTGTTTCCTCTTACTTAGATATTCCATACACCAATCCAATGCTTACCCATACTTTTCAATTTTTTTATCAAACGGTTTTGATCAACAGTCTCGAATGCCCTTTGAAGATCTATAAAAACGGCCAATGTCAGATAGTTTTTATCAAATTTATATTTCCAATCATATAAAATACATTGGATAGCTGATTCACAGTTATGTTTGCTGCTTAAGCCCGATTGTATTCTAGTAATAATTAACTTCTCACATAAATTTTGGTTTAAATAGACTGTCGATAGTTGTTCAAACCTCTTGCCAGAAAGGAGACTTGAGTTAAGGACTGTTGCCTGAACTCTTGCTTCGGGACCCTATAGGTCCCCCCAACCCCAAAGGTGAAAACAATACTAGAAGATTTCTGCATAGGAATTTTGACCGTCAATGCAGTGGATGGTCAATAAAAAAGGACACATGTCTAGCATGTCAGGGTTTGATCCCTTGCTCAAAAAAGAAAGATTCAAAGTAAAATTAGAATTTAATTCACCTTGTAATCTATTACTAATTTAGAAAGATATGTATAATATATATTTTTTTCGAAGTAAATTGTTTACATTTAATTTAACAATTTTACATTCTATGATTGATCTATTTGACCTTTAGGGACATGAAAAAATGATAAAAGATAAACGAGGCAACTCCGATGCGTGTACACAATTCTAAATGCGAATTGATACAATTATAAATGTTTCTTGGCTTCAACTAGTTACAGCAATTATATTTGAAAGGTTTAACTGAATTCATTGCGTTTCTCGTAAAATTTTATTGGAAATATTAGCCAATAATTCTTAACAGAATAAAAGACCCCGCTCCTTCACTTATGGTAAATGGATTTCGGTCGAATCAATTGAATTTTATGTATGATGCCGTTTTTTGGCCAAAAAGTTGGTACAGTGAGCGCCGCTATTTTACAATATTGGTATCCAGGAAGAGTATACATAAAAGTTGACATATGCAAAAATTTACATTTTTTTACAAAACTCCCTATAGATGAGGGTTGCCACAGTACGAAAATGCCACGCTTTTGAAAAAAATACCACTCTTTTAATGCACATGCCACGCTTTTTAATGTAAAGCGAAAAATATAAGCTGAGGACCTTTTTTTTTTAGAAATTTCATAAAAAATGCTTGGTATTTAAACCTAATGCTCTGTCGTTACGGTTGTCACCCTTTTTCTTTTTCAGAAATCTGACAACCCTACTGTAGAGAGATAATTATTCCGTCAAATCAAGTGACGATTTATATCGAGGGTGTATCAACGACGCGTGGGGTTAGGGCTGCCATACCTCCTGATTTAGGCGGGAGCCTCTCGTTTTTTAAACTAAGCTATAAACCTCCCGATTTTTAAGAAATCTCCTAATTTACCCCGAATTTACATTGAATAGTTATTAAAAAATTATTAATATGCTAAGGATACTATCAAATTATCATCGGTCATTTCCCATTTCTACAAACATCGTAATTTCTACAAGCGCCATCTTTTATATGTCTGGGGGAGATGGATTTTAAAACAAACCCTAAATTGGACGATTTTATAAAAAAATCTAATGAGTTTGCCATTGGTTTTTTTCAAAATTCTCTTACTCACTCAAACGCGATTAGTGAGAGCATATTTTTAGTCTAATGTTTGTAGCCTGGAGGAAAGAAAAACATTATTTTTCTATAGAAACATAATCTGAACTAATGATTAAATTTAATTATACAGAAACTTGCCAAGAATTTGCAAAAGGATGGAAAAAGTCTTCTTGGTAGAGTAGGAAACAGTTCAAAATATTTGTAATTTTAGAATAATTAATTGGTTACAATAGGAATTTGACATTTTTTTGAGAAGTTTAACTATTTTAATGTAAGTATTTTTATGTATAATTTTTATATATTTATATTTTATTTATATAACAAAGTTAGCAGTCAATATTACAGAATACCAAAGTGGCGTGATTCTGTAAACACAAACAGAAGCGAGGCAATAAATTATTTTTCAGTATTCTTTGTACCGAAAAAACCCACAGAGCTGGAATTATATGTTTTAGTTCAAATGTGAACCCACCTATTGTTAATTTTTGTGTTTGTTTATACAAATGTACAATTGTGACATGAAGATTGCCAAAAATGATACCAAAATTAAGAATCGGTACTTGTATGTTGTCTTGTTGAAAATGTTGCTACAATATCTTTGTATTCGCTCCGTGCGCGACAGCAGCGCCAATTCGTTTTGGTATTAATGGACTATTTCTGTGTATACTGACAAATGCAATTTTTAATAGAATTCGTAATTAAAAAGTATATATGTTAGTTTTAATAAAAGTATATGGATTTGTAAAACAAGTAAAACATTAATTTTTTATTATTATATATTTTTATCTCTTAAATTAAAGAAAATTATGTATAATCAATAAAAATTAATAATAAAATATAGGCAGGCAACAGTATTTACTGGAAAATGTATGAGAAGTTGCCTAAGTCTAATAAGTTGTCATTGAAGAATTATTTAGTCAAAATAAAAAAATAACATTTAATAATAGGGTGAAGTTAAAATGTATAAAAAAAGGATCCTTATTTATATTTTCATTTTTGTTGGAAAGAAAACATAAAATGAATAATTGAAACTGGTTTCCCATCAGTAAGTTACAAAATTGTATTCCAGCCACATATAATAATAATAATAATCAAAGGCAGAAATCTTGAAATCTAGTCCTTGCTGAATGAACATTTAAGAATAAAGGGACATTAAAGAACATCGTAAAATGATACTTTATTGTTTATTTAAAACCTTTCAAGTTTCTGATGTCTACTATTTACAGCATTACTGTTATTATTACAAAAATAAAGGTAATTTTTCTTCTTATTGTACATCTATCCATTTATTTCTTTGATTTAATTTCCACTTTGCAACTGAAATTTTTTATATAAGATTCACTGTTTTTTTTTGCTAGTATTTGTACAATTTTCAACACAGCAACTCTGGTTGCTTATTGTATTGTTTGTACCTACTTTTTTGAAAAAAGTAAAATGTATACGTGTATTTGATATGCCAAAATTACAAAATATCGCCCTAAAATGCACGAATTATCCGCAGCCTAGCGCTAGTATCGCTTTTGCTTCCCTTTCCATGACTTCGCACGGAACGAATAGGCACTTTTTGAGATATTCATTAATAAGATAGAGCCAGTTTAACAATGGCTGTCTTTTTTCTAGGGATTTTTTTAGTATCTACCTGTAATTAAATCAAATCCTGGTGCTTTTTTGGGTTAATATTTTCTTTTATTTGCCAGAGAAGGGTGGGAGAGTGGTCAGCAGAGTTCATAAGCGGTAGGTATCAAGGTATCCCAATTTCTTTGACTTGCTGTAGGTAATTTCAAGAAATATTTCGAGTTAAAAATATATCAATAATTAAGTCTGGTATTTTATTTGGATGTATAGACCGAATAATATGTTGGTTTTTCGCTATTTATCAATCAATATTGTTAATAAATTAAAATAAAAAATTAAATAAAAACTGAAAAATATTAGGTTAATTTCATTCTTCTATACATAGAGTTTTCGCGGCCTCTTTCGTGCATAAATATAGCCAGACATTTCTTCTTTTTTTGAGTTGTCAATTTCTTCTTTTTTAGATCTGTCAATTTCTTCTTTTTCTTTGAAATGTCAATATCTTCTTTTTTTTGAATTGTCAATTTCGTCTTTTTTTTTAGGCTTCAACCGTACACAATAATGAGTCTAAAAAAATAGTGGCTTTTTCTTTTTTCAAAGATAGAGGCCGCCAAATTTTTACGATGGTATAGAAGAAGAGTGATATTTGACACAATGAGGTTATACCTCCATGATTTGACATGCACCTGGACACTCTTCAAATTTTTATTTGAATTTTATTTAAAGAAATTGAGTATTTTTTGAATATATGCTTAGCTTCTCAGGTAAACCTTGTCAATCTTTGTTCAAAAAAATACCTACACAGTATATGTGTTATTTTTGGAAGCTGGAGCGCGACATGGTGTCTGGTGAGCCCTAGCCCTGGTGTGTAATATGTGTCCAAATCCCAAATCTAAATGCATACCACCACTGTATCTATTTCACAATGTTATAATTACTTGAATTGTACCCAGTAGATTAATAACAACATCTCTAACCCCCAAGAAATGTATTTTTAAAGGTGGTGTTTACACTATGGTGAATGATCTGTATGTATCTTATACTTTATACTATTTCTATTGACAAACTTATTAACAAAATAACTTTGTCGTTAGTTAGCAGTGCTTTTACTACTTAAGTATACTAAGAACTTGGTGGATATGCTTGTTTGTGGACAATATGCACTGATGATTGCACAATGCCGAAAGCGCTTTGCATTTATTAATTAAAAAGTTTTGCACGAAATTCAAGTCTTTCCTTTTGAATCTAAACTACATGCACACAGCTGTCAACCTTTTATGGTTATTTTAATAGTAATTTTGTTAAGTTACTTAAATTTATATGTTTCTAGACTTAAAAACACATTCAATTAATGTTTCTACCAACAAATACTTTATACTAATATTTATGCAAAGTAGCCAAAGTTTTCAATGGATTCTATCTGTAATAACTTCTGCAGTGATAGTATTTTTTTATTCATTTAATTGTTTTATAAATAAAATACCAATCTCAGACTTAAAAATCACTTCACTTAATATTAATTGCTATTTTTTTTACGTATGTTCAGTGATAATTCTTTAACACGGTGTTCGATTTCAATGATTCTTTTTTGTTAGAAAGGGGGTACTTCAGGGGTGGTCCCATATAAATTTGGTTGAAATCTAATAATTGGGTCCATGAGAAAATCCTCAAACTTTTAATTTCTAATACTTGTATGCTTATTTAATTTTTCATATATTTTTAGTATTACTTTGTTATGTAATTAAGCTTTTTCCAGTTGAACCATAAATGTATTTTTTATTTTTTTATGTTTGTGAATAAAATATTTTTAACTTACTTTTGCCAGAAAATCATGAACTGTTCCATCGTACAGCTGCCTTTATCCGCGCAAGCGGCCAAATACAGTGGTGTTTTCCAATAAAGGGGCAGTTGAGTAGCTTGAGTAAGTGATCCGAAATGTTCCCTGGAAGCCCTTTCGCCAATTTTTGTAAAAGCTGCGGTCACCTAGAAAAAAATATATCGACAGATTTATTGAAACATAATCTGAAAAAGGATCATTCATATTTTATCCACGCATAAAATTTGCTAAACTTAAATTATTTTAGATATAGTTTGATGCTACTGATTTAATCATTGTTTTAACTAAAAATTACTCAATAAATATCGATTCTATTGTAATATATTATCTGTTTTTGGTAAAAGAAAGGATTGAATCAAGATTTACTGCCATTTATCATAATATAAGTGAATGGCGCTATACAGTATAGATAGGCTATTAAAGGCTTTCCAATACGTTTTGCACAAGTGCGTGTGACAACTACAGAAATGAATAACAATCATTATTCGTTTCCTGTTTGCTCTTATGCTATCTGTCGTTTTCACATGCATTTGTGCAAAACTAAAACGATTTTCTTGTTTTTCTTTCCGTAGCATATGCAACATATTACGGTAAAATTTGAAGTACTCACCTTTGCTTTGATAGCTTCCAGATGTCCAGGAGAACAAGGTTTCCCCGACGGATAGTGAAACCTTGGTATATTGACATTCCGGTGTGCTTTCACATGCCTCTGAAGCGTGGTATGTTGAGGAGGCTGTTGTTTCGATATCGGCTGTGAATAACACAAGACTACCATCATTACACCATAAAAAAAACACCACTAGAATCAGCAAACTGTAACACTCAAGTTTTTAGATCCTTGATCAATGATTTACACTCAAATTTAGATTTTTATTATAAGTTTTTCTTTTGGTTCAGTTTTTATTTCATTCCCTATGAATAAAGAAAGAGTAGGTGTTTTGTGCAAAATAAGATGAACAAATTGATATTTATTAATGGATCTAACAAATTTTTTCATAGATTATCTTCCCTCAAAAAATTGCGTAAATAATGTACTCTTAATTTTAGCCAAAAAGTGCATTTCTGGTATTATCAACAATCATTTTATTGATTCGGAACTTGCTTCTAAAAAGGTTATAATAAAATTGAATGAATATTATTTATCCAAAATTATATAATTATTTTCTTAGTAGTTCCGGACTGTAATGATAGGGGCGCTGAGTTCATAAATTTAATGTTTCACCTTTTAGTGTTGATTTAATTATTTTAGGGTCGAAATTTTCACCTCTGAGTATAGTTACATGTAGGTTTACTTGACAGATTAACAAACAATGGCCCTATAGTTTAATCAGCAAGTAGTTACTTTCAACTTTACTCAGCGGTGAAAAGACTGGCCCTTAATAATAAAAAAATGAAATAAAAAAGAAGTAAATGAACAAATTAAAGGTTTACTCAAACTTACCGGATAGGAGGGAAGGATAATCGTCTTCCTTATGTCCTGGGGATGAAACTTCCCTTGAAGTCGCGCAATGCGAGGTAAATAAAAGCCGTATTAACAGGTTCACAAAATTTTGCCGGTTGGGATTAATTGTAAACTGTATAGTTTACAATTTAACACTATAGCCTTCGTGTTCGTTTTGTGTCGCAGTTCGACAGACTTCCAAATCGGTGAAAGACAAAAAAGGGTCCAAAGTATAGAATTAGGACGGTTGAGTATTGGAATAGGGGGAAATGGAGAAATAATATGAATCAAGTAAACCTTTATCGTAATTAAATATAAAAATTATGAAATATTAACAAACGCAAAATATAAATAATATATGCCCAAATGAAAATAAATATATATGTATATAAAAATAATAGAAAATAAAATATATAAATGTACAGGAACAGAACAAGAAAGTAGTCAAAAACGTCGTACTCTATAGAAACGAGTAAGAGGCATAAGGATGTATTTTATTGCTTTTTTTATTTAATTGACGATGAGAAGAATCTGCATTGGAATGTTTCCCTAAACGTTGCGGCTAGTAGTTTGATGAGAATTGAATAGAACTTTTTCGATTGCTTCCAATGTATTACAGGTATTTTTACTGGCCAGCAAATATATTATAACTGCTATCGACAACATACAAATGAAACAAGTGTTATGTTACAAAAACACTTAGGGCCGATTCCACCGTTGTGTTAAACGAAGTTTAAATTATTAAACGAATATTAAAATGACATTGTTAATGTAAAAATGTCATTTTTTCCTCTTTAAAACGCTCAAAGTCGTGATTGTGGAACAGAATATCTCAAGAGAGGTTTTTGGGTTTGGCCTTATTTCATAATTATTACGATATGAATATTGAACCATCAAAAATTGTAGAAAAATTTGCAAAATCTCAAAAAGCAAGATTAAATTTTGTATTATACTGAGTTTTTGAGAAATTACGTTTTTTTTTTGTGATATATTTTTATTTTATTTAAGTTTTAAAAATTATTGAACGTTGTTTTAACATTTGTGGAACTTTTTTAATTTTTAAATTGCTATTTTGCCCTTGGTTGTTCCTAAAGATATATCTCAATTTATATAATATTTTCTTTTTCCAATTTTAATAATATGGACTAGGTACATATTGATATGGAAATTTCTGTATGACGTCACAAAATTTGGAAATATCTGGGTGGGTATAGACATTTTTATACGAGGCTGGGCTGAGAAATAATCGGCCTGACAGTGATTGATGGCGAACAGATTTTGTATTTTGATGAGCGTCCAGGCCGTCCAAGAAAGATCACCACACCAGAAGTGGTCGATAAAATCCATGGTATAGTAATTGACGATCGACGGGTAAGGGTGTGTGAGACTGCTGAGGCTGTGGGCATCTCACGTGAACGAGTTGAGAGTATATTGCACGAATATTTGGGAATGACGAAGCTCGCTGCCAGATATGTGGCGTTTGCTCAATGCCGACAACAAGCGAAACCGTGTGACAACTTCAAAGGAGTGTTTGGCAATGTTTAACCACAATAAGAAGGACTTTTTGCGCCGTTTTGTAACCGTGTATGAAACATGGATTCATCACAATACGCCAGAGACGACGGAACAGTCAGAGCAGTGGGTTTCTCAGGGCGAGTCAAAGCCAAAGAAAGCCAAGGTGGGTCTGTCTGCCAACAAGGTCATGGCCACAGTTTTTTGGGATGCGCCCGGTATTATTCATATCGATTACCTTGAAAAGGGCAAAACCATCACCGGCAATTATTACTCAAAGCTGTTGGACCGATTCGACGACGATTTGAAGCAAAAATGACCGCATTTAGCGAAGAAGAAAGTGTTTTTCCACCAGGACAACGCATCGACGCAGAAATGTGCAGTCGCATTGGCAAAACAGTATGAATTGCGTTACGAATTGGTTCCTCATCCGCCATACTCCCCAGATTTGGCGCCCAGCGATTATTATCTGTTTCCAGACTTGAAAAAATGGCTCGGTGGTAAGAGATTTGAGTCGCTACGACAGAGGCCTATTTTAAGGACTTCGAGAAATCGTATTATTCGAAGGGCATCGAAAAATTGGAAAATCGTTGGACAAAGTGTATAGAGCTTAAAGGGGATTATGTTGAGAAATAAATTGAGTTTTGCCAAAAAAAGTTGTTTTCTTGCCTAGGCCGATTATTTTTCAGCCCAGCCTCGTAATTTAATAGTAGTTGCCAGAAAAGTTTTTTTTGAAAGGTTTTTGAAAAATAATTATTGATTGTCAGCGGGGATAAAAAAAATATCAAAGATGGAATTTTAGAATTGTCAAGGAAAATTTAATTTTAAGAATGTGAATGTTTGTTTTATAAAAATGGAAGGATATTAAAAGATAAATAAAGTTATAGAAAAAATAAGAGGTAAAGAAAGTTTTATTTAAAAATATTATAAATAAGAAAAGCAGGAGTCAGTGAAAGTAACGGAGATAAGCAGAGACAGTAAAGGAAAGCATACAGGTAGAGATAAGATAATCATACACAGATTGAGACATCAGGGAAGGGCAAAGACAATAAAGATAAGCAGAGGTGAACCAAGAGCAAGAAGAAGGAAGAAAATAAAATCCATTTTTTTATTTTTGTTAATAATTATCAAAATATTCATTGGGTAATAATACTTATCTACACAAAATTATTAATTTGAAAAACCTATAGCTTTGCTACTTTAACCACAGAATATTTGTATCCAAAACAACTTTTGGTACTTGAATTACTTAGCTTCTTTTAATACAAAAACCGATTCATATGAAGGTTATTAGGCCAATCTTCTGTTATTGTAATCATTGGAATATGTATGTAGATAAGATTTTCACAATCACTATCGAGAGTAAAAGTACAGCATTTTGAATTCGAAAAGGTTTTATATTTTATTGTCGAAACCAACATATATAAAGTTATATTACTTAGAAATTTGTTAGATCCATTAAAGTTTTTTGAATTTAACACCAACACCATCTCTTACCGTTTTCAATACACTCTATGTAGTTCTTAATATTCACACACAATTCACTATATATCAGAAGAGAAATTTTAAACATTTGAAGTATATTGACGGTCTCGGCATTGAAGCAAGACTGAATGAATAAAAACAGTTTGCAAATTTTAATTAAACATTAAAAGCAAAAGGTTAAGATAAGAACCTCAAAAGTGCTGCGGCTATAAATGTAATATCAATGAAATTGGTTTATATTTAGTACCTACCTAAGCAAACTTGGTCTCCGTGTGCTGTGTGTATGTTTGCATGTACATGCATATTCTTATCTTGGATAATATGCATTCTGGATTTAAAACTAATTAGCTGAAATTGTATACTATGCAAAGTGATATTTTATTAAAACTTTATTATTATTTACTGTTTTGGTACTTTTAACTAAAAACAAAAGAACGTACAATCCATTTAAAAAGTACGCCAATAGTAAATTCTTATACCTAACTAATGTCAGAAACTTGTATTAGCTGTTTGAATATTGAAATACGTGTTTTCATCCTACAATGTTATACTGAAAGTGTAAGGATACCAAAACACCACAAACCGTCAGAGAGTTGCGCACGCATAATCGTAGTAAGCTAGATAGTAGTATTTATTCTAACAGCAGTACAGAACAGAACCCGTGGCAAGCTCGAACAGCTCGTCACTCGAGACAGACGACAGCCAGAAACCGACTACTCCCGTGACAAGCATCATGAAGACCTACAAGCACTCTTTCCACCGGACGTGGAAAGAATAATTATCGGAAACCTTAACGCGAAGTCACCGGACTGGAACAGCGTAGTGTACAACCCCAAAGGACGGGTGCTGGAAAACTTCCTGGACGACAACCCTGGTTGTGCGGCGATCGGACCTCTAGAACCCACCCACTATCCTGGCAGAGGAATCCCAGATGTATTAGACATTGCAGTCATCAGAGACTGCACATTTCCACTAGAAATGTTCACTCTGCACGAAGGAGTCGGAGCACACAAGCCTACCCTCCTTGTCCTAGGAGAAGGAGAAAGGCTGGCGCTCCGAAAGAAATGTCAAAAACAAATTGGACACAATTTAAAAGGATAGTGGGAGGAAACCTGTGAAATATCCCCAGAATTGATGTAAATTTAATATATCATTCATTAGATATAGAATACAAAATGATTTAAGTAGTTTCATTTCAACTAAAATAAAAAAAATGGCAGATAAATCGTTGTAAACGAGAAGATACATTTAACCCAATTTTCAATGACTGTACATTTTACTCCAAATACTTCTGGGTAATAATATTCTTAATC